GGCTCCATTCGAGTCTGAAAGCTCAGAAGGCAAAACCTCTGGTCCCAGTGACTGACCTAGATTGGATCCTGCAACATATTTGCTTTCCTTTGTGCGATATGCTGACTTTGTAAACCACTTAGAGAGGACTGTAAAGCGCTACAAAGTGGTATATAAGTCTAAGGGCTATTGCTATTGCTTGCTATCATTGGCTTGGATTCATTTGTACTTCAACAGTATCTGAGGAGCCATACATTCAACATATCTTCTCTTTAATAGAGATTCATGTTGCCTTCTCAAGCAAAATTGAAATCCCTTAGTTGTTCTGTGCCATATGAATTCTTTAAACTCAGTTCTGATAATTCAAAAAGAGGTAAATGAAAGTAATCAAAATTACCAGAGAAAATATTTTTCAAGTAGGAATCTTGATTGGAATATTATAACACAACAATCAAGAAAAGTTCCCACTTTAAGATTTTGGAAAACCTTTACAGGAAGAGATTTCTGCCTATTTTTAAGTACTGTATGGAAAACAGTCCAGTACATTTAAATTATTTTGAGTCTACCCAAAAAATGAAATTATACTTTCTACAATCTTTGAAGCACATTATGCTTTCATGTTTATAGGAGTAAATCTAGTGTTGCCACTTATCAGGTTGCTATCTTCAGAAGCAAAAATAATGTTCTGAAAACATTCCTGGCTACTTATTTTGCTCATACAAGTGATATTAAAAAGAAAAAAAAATCTTGATTGATTCTGTATTTGAAACAATATTTACAATCTATTTTTCAATCTTTAACACCCAAGATTGCTGTTAGAAAGACATTTAAATATAAATTGTTCATGGGCTAAATAGATTTTAGATATTTACCAAAGGTATAAACCATCCCAATCAAAATCTGTAGGCACCCTTCTCAAATATATTTGAGAAATGAGCTACATATAGGCTTGAAGTTATACAATTATACAAAGGGTTTGTTTTCTCTTATATGGATCCAAGCTGAGGAAGATTTTATGTTTAGAGTTTCAGAAAACATATACAAGAGAAAAGGTACATAAAGCATATTATTTAAACAATATTAACTTGTATGTTGATAAATTAATAGATCTGGCATTTGTCTTCACCACAGTTCTATCCAAGACTGGTTTCAAAGGAATAATATTTAGAAACAAGTACTGTGTGTAAGCTCCACCAACTCTAATGTTTCCCATTCATTTTTTTTCCATTGAATGTGCCAGGTTCCATCCAAATATAATGCTGGCTGGGTAACAACTGCGGCATTTGAATCTTTGTGCAACAAAACAATTGCATTTGCATTGGAGGGCTTGTTGGCTGAAGGATTCCAAGGCTGGAGTCTCAGCTAAAGGATATAAACTGTGTGTGTGTGTATGTGTGTGTGTGTGTGTGTGTGATGGTGTCCAATGAAATTCTATAACCACACTTATTCATATGAATATACACATGAATGAACACACACAGTTTGTATAATAAATATTTTTATGAAATGTTTTAAAACAGCCATATTGCAACTCACTGCAGAGTGAAGGGCTACTTAAATCACCCAGAGAGCCTCTTTTAAATACAGTTGCTCAAATATTTAGCATGTGGGGAAGCCTTCTCCTATTAAGGAGAATCATTTGACTCTCTCTCTCTCTCTCTCTCTCTCTCTCTCTCTTACTATTTAGGAAGAGAGTAGAAA